TGGGTTAATCCTTGATTTTGTGTCATTTTGGGAGTTCCAAGGGTCACTGCACATGAAGCCTTGGAGGTACACCAGTAAAGGGACTTTGACACACAGTTCATTTGAAGTGCTACTTGGGGCCACCTAAAAAGGAACTTCATTTTGTTACTGGCCTGTTCCTTGGGGTAAGGGGGAACTGCTGGCATGGGTGCCTCTATGAGGAGTGTTGAGCACCCCACCAAAGGAAATTGTTGCTGTAGCAGGATAATCATGGGATCATAGAATTGTTAAGGTTGGAAAAGAGCTCTTAATACCATTGAGGCTGATCTGGCACCACCACGATCTTCACCATTAAACTGTGTCCTAAAGTGCCATATCCACATTTTTTTTAAACATGTGCAGGAATGGTGACTTCACCACTGTCCTGGGCAGCCCATGCCAGGGCTGGACAGCCCTTTCCATAAAAAAAATATTTCCTAATATCAAATCTAAATCTCCCCTGACACAACTTAAAACCTTAGGTAGAGTCACTAACCCAAGCCAGGATTGCATCTGACTCTCTGGGGACAAGAGGAGCCCCAGAGCTTGGCACTGGATTCTGTTGAACAGGGCCTGAGTGTCACGGAGGAGGATCTCTGAGAGAACTTCATCAGGAGCAGAGATCCTCTTCATCCTGTGCCATTCTGTGGACTGCCTCCCTGGTGAGTGGGAACTGGGCTCCGCTCCTTGCCGCTGGGTTGTGGCCCTTGGGGGAGAGGAGCAGCTCGTAGTGGAGGCTGTGCTGGGCAGCGTGCCCAGCCCTCTGCCCCTGCAGGAGCAGCCTTGTGCCAGGCACCAGGTGAAGGGACCAGAGCAGAGCATCAGGGCATCACCAAGGTTTGGATATGAGTGAAACAACAGCCTGATGAAACTACAAAATTACAGGATTCAGGGGAGGGGGAAATTTTCTATCTTCATCTCACCCACTGCATAGAGATGTTATTAGAGCCAAATGAAAGAAATAAGTCAGAGGCAGGAGATGAGACAGCTGTGCAGCAACACTGCTCCAGTTAATTCAGTCCCATTGCTTTGGCATAAAAGAACATTTTGGGGGAATCCTGAGCTGCCCTTGCTATTTTGGAGCACAGGCCACTTTACACTGTTGTCACAAGGAAAAACTTTCTGCCGTGGTACTGTTGATAAATCTTTAATAACATTGTGTCTAGTAAAGCCAAAATCCTTTCAGACTCTGTGCTTCTCAAACTGGTAACAGGTGAAGTCGGGTGCCAGCAGCCAGAGTGCCACTGCACATGAAGCTTGGATAAATCACTGGCGAGACATGTTCTCACAGCACGATTTACAGCAAATCTCCATAGCAAAATATTTCATCACACTCAGGTGGTTTTTGTTTCCTTTTTAGGCCTGGCTTTAGCTACCTTGGGGGTGTTCTGGTGCTCCAGCCCTGCGGGTGCTGTCCCAGGGCTGCTCTGTGCTGTGCTGGGTGCCACAGCCGGGTCCTGCGGGGTGCCCGGGGCTGAATGCTCCGCTGCAGCAGAAACTGAGAGAGCTGACGTTGTTTTTCCTCTGTGGCTCTGAGCTAATTCATTTTAAAAGCTCCCAGTGAAGGCTGGAAAGATGATGCCTGTGCCTCTTAAATATTCCTGATCCATAATGGTTGCATAGAGCTGGGTTTTGTTTCACCTGTGCCTCTGGAGCTGGCTCACGGCCAATTTAACATGGCTACTTTGCTCTGCTTTGCAAGAACTCTGTTCTGCCAGGAGGTAGGGAGATAACTAACATCAGATTGGAACCAAATTCACAGTTCAGGTATAACAGGTAAAATTATAGCAGAAAATAAAAATTATTATTAATGGTAATAATTTAGATAGCAGGTTTCTATGAAAGAATTGCAATGATATCTTTCCGGGTATTCCCAAGCTAGGAGTCCTGTGAGATACAAGTGAAACTCATCTTGGTGATCTCAGAGTCAATAAGAAAACAAGTAGGAAGTAAATTCCTCATTCTGAGCTGGATGAAATTCAGCCCTGGATGAGTCTAGGCTGGTCCTGACTCTGGAAAGATGAATAAGACACATCATTCCATCACACCCTGTGTCTGCAAGTGAAGAGGACATGCAAATTAAGCAAAATATTATCAGTGATACCAGGTTTGAAGATTGCAGGACTTCTGTGTGATAACCAGGGTCCCTTCAAGAGGCTGTGAGGCATCCTACCAGTGCACCTGGGATGTGGGGCTTTCAAACCTGTTTTTCTACTAGCATGGAGAAGAAAGAATTTTTATGGAGTATGAAGGAGAACAGTGACCCACACAGGCACATTGTGTCTTGCTCCCAATGTTCCCCAGTTAGTGCACTTCATACAGTTTGTGAAGTTCAGTCATGTTCCCAAGTCATGTTGCCAGGATTTGAAACTCCACAAGGGATGGAGAGGCCTGAGGGCTCTCTTTCCTGAGCAATGCTCTCCCTGGCATGCCTGGTGAATCATGTTTTCTGACACAGAAAAAAGTGACTCCTCTTTCAGGGTAAAGACACATAGCTGTCTCCCTCCAAATCTTCCACAAGTCCAGAACAAATCTGAAACATTAGGCCTTCCCAAGAGTTTAGATTATTTTCATCCTTCACGCCAGAAATCTGTGGCAATGTTGGGTGGTGATGAAGCTGATTTATTCTCAAATATTTTTGGTACCAGTGAAAATGTTTTGCAATGTTTCAGTAATCCTGGTGTGGTACTTCCTAGCATGGCACCATATTTACACTCACCTCTCAACTAGTTAAAACTTGTACCATATAAAAAGGGGGTGGGACAACTTCTAGGCTGGAAGACTGGAAAAAGAGGAGTGGAAAACATCAGAAAGGAGGCTGAATGAAAAAGGAGTTTTTGCCATCTCCATTTCTGACAAAGCCTGACTTGCCTGATGAGGAGCTATTGATAAGTCTCTGTTCCTGACTTGGAGCTGTGGCACTTTTCTTGGGAAGGCAGTCAGGTTAGTAAACAGTTCTTGTTATGAGAACCCAAAGGCATAAAATGAATCATGAAAATCTTCAACAGACTGTGGAGGAGGAGAAAAGTGAATTCAAAATAACCCATAGTATCCAATAGGAGGGCAGGTTATGTTTTGTCACCATCCTGTTAGGAAGTTGGATAATTATTGGTCAGATATTATTTTGAAAAGATTGTATCCTGTGTTTCACACCGTATCCTGCACTGACAGTCAGTGACTGGCACAGCCAGGGACTACGTGAACATCACGAGCCAGGATGAGGTGAGGCATTTACAGGTGGAGTCAATCAAAAGTTGGACTCAATGATCTTTGATATCTCTTCCATCCTAAATGATTCAGTGATTCTGTGACTTCATGATTTCATACAGTGAAAACAATTTGATCAAGTGTGAAAAGAAGAAATTCCTGCCAACAGCTGAAGCCTTTATATACCACATTTTATATACCACATTTTCTCCTGTCTCTTTGCTGTAGATGTACTTCCAACAATGTGTGTTCGCTTCCTGATGTGCCCAAGAGCTGTCTGCTATCAATCAGCTCAAGTTCCTTGGTCAGTTCTGTCCATGCTCCTTCCCCTCTGCCCTCCCACCGCTGCTGGACGTGTTCCAGTGTCAGGGAATACTCAGCGATGGGGAGAGGAGTGAAACTCCAAGTACAGCTGACACGTCACGCTGCAGCACCTGGGTGCCACCCAGCCTCTGATGGAAACTCTGCCCTAAGGCCTGCTATGACCATGTTGTTATTTATCTCTTCCTGGAGTACCTTCTCTCACTTATTTCAGTTTACTTCCTTCTCAAGGGAAGTCTCACCTTCTGTCTCTGGTTCGGCGTTGTTGATCACCTGTGAATACTAATGGGCTCCCCCAGCAGATGCTCATGCACTGGCTGGTGGGGTCCTGGTGCCTCCCCCAGACCCTTTTCAAGTTGCACCAAGATCTGAGAAATGTACCTGGGCTCAGCTTCTCTTGGGCCTATCAGAAACACCACCTGCTCCAGGAACTGGTGCTGTCCAGTTCCTCCCAACACCCACCCTGACCCTCCCCTGGCACAGTTTGAAGCCATTCTGTCTCCTCCTGTCCTTGTTTCCCAGGGGCAGAGCCAGAACCCCTCAGCTGCCCCCTCCTGTCAGGGAGTTGTGCAGAGCCAAGAGGTCCCCCCTGGGCCTCCTCTTCTCCAGGCTGAGCCCCTTCCCAGCTCCATTCCCTTCTCTGGACACACTCCAGCCCCTGCAGCTCTTTCTTGTTGTGAGGGGCTCTAAACTGACCCCAGCATGTCCAGCACAGGGGTGGGCACTGCTCTGGCCCTGCTGCCACACCAGGGCTGAGCAGCCCAAGGTGCCCTGGTCCTTCTTACCCACCTGGGCTCCTGTTCAACCACTGCCACAGCACCCCAGGGCCTTTCCAGCCCCTCTGGCCCAGCCTGGAGCTGCAGGGGTGTTGTGACCCAAGGACAGGACCTGGCACTTGGCCTTGTTCAGCCTCAATCACTGGCCTACGATCAAGCCTCTCCAGATAAAACTATGAAGCCTTCCTGCCTGACAGCACATCAATACTCCCAGCAACCTGAGTGTCACGTGCAAACTCACTGAGGGTAAAGAAGTTGTTAATTCAAACAACTGAATGGCAGTTGGCGGGATACAGAAACCAGGATGGTGTTTTCTGCTTCAGCCCGTTTTATATAAGACTCAGCATCAGAATGAGCTCCAGCAGTGACCTGGTTTAGAAGACAAATACTCAGAGTGAGTTCCAGTAAATATGGTTGTTGTCACCTGCTTCAGTAAGTAGAGCTATGCTGAAAATCCCAGCCCAGGCTATTCTGCATGCTGAAGGGACTAATGAGAAGGACCATGAGCAGTGCTCACCCTGCCCAGAGCTTATGAAACAGGAGCAAACGGCTGACCTGGCACGAACTGCTCCCCACAGAGTCTGGAAAATTCATCTCCCTTCATTATTGATGACCTCTTTTTAAAAGAGATATTTGCCTCCAACCAAAAACTCTGAAAAAGCACAGCAAACCAGAGAATGAGTCAAACATATGTATTTGTTTGCTGCCCCTCTGAGATATTTGCCTGGATTTTAAAGCAGCACCTGCCTTAAAAGAATAATAATCCTGTGATTAAATTATTTATACTTGAAAGCAACTTGCAGATGCTTCTGTCTGCTAAAAAATACATGAACTCTGAAGGCTTCAAAGACTTAAAATACAGATTTCATGTCTAAGAATGTTTTGCAAATCTTACTTAATCACAATAAAAGACAAGGGAAGCAGCATCAGAAGTGTGACAGCCATGCCAGACAGCCAGTGGGCATGAAGAGTCCTACAGCAGTTGGTGGTTTGTGAAAAATAAATACAGGAAGGAAGTTGTCCTGCGTGCCTATTTCAGAACTTGTTCTGAGTTATGTTTACATTAGTATAACCCACAAAATTAAACCACTGCCTGCTGGATACTGGCTAAATACATGTAACAATGGAAATGAAGCAACAAAAGACAAATTAGAAAATAAAAAAGAATATCTATTCCATTACTAATCACATGAGTTTGATTTGTTTTCTGTTAGTAATCCTTACAGAACATATACATGAAAGTCTGGTACATCAGTGGGCTTTGAGACATAACCAAAGAGAAAGGTCAGTAACAAAACCTGTAAATGAGATGAGACACATGAAGTCAATCTTCTATTCTTATGTACAAAGGAGCTTTTGAAAATTGACACCAAGAAAATTGATTCATACAAATCTACATCTTACATTTACATAGAAGTGCAATCTAGAAAATTTAGATTTTTCTGATTGTAGGTATGATACTTTGGAAATAAAATTACTAAAATGTTTTTGTTGAAGAAATTATTGTAACCTACACTATTATTAGCAATAGTGTATTTAGAAAAAGTGTAAGTCCCTGAGCCAGCAGGTAAGAGACTAGAAGATACTTATAACTCTCTCTATATATTTTAAAATAAAAATTTAAAATTTTATTTTGCTTTTAGCCATAAACTCATAAAAGGAAGAAAACTGCAGCAATCAATGATGGGAAGGAGAGAGAGGAAACTAGAGAGAAAAACTCAGTTCATTTTGCCATTTGAGTTGCTGCTGACAGGCACTTGGTACCAGTTTAACAGGTAAAGTTCACCCTGGATCTTCCAGTTTACCAGTAGAGCCTAGAAAAGGTGGCACTTGAAATAGAGTTTCCAGAAATTTGATATAAGAAAGAACCTTTTACAATGAAGGTGCTGAGTGCCCAGAGAGCTGTGGCTGCCCCTGGATCCCTGGCAGTGCCCAAGGCCAGGTTGGACAGGGCTGGGAGCACCCTGGGACAGTGGGAGCTGTCCCTGCCATGGCAGGGGTGGAACTGGATGAGCTTCAAAGGTGCCTTGAATGCAAACTACTCTATGATTCAAATAAATACATATAATGGACAGAATACACAGAATAGCAATACATGGCAAGAAACCATTAACAATTAGGTGATTTGTGTCTGTGCATGAAGGGCAGGAAATTTTAAGTATGTCCAGAAGAAACAATTCAAATGATTACCTGTGAACAAAACTGGGCAAAAGAATGCTGCTTATTTCTTTTTGCCTCATCTTTCCTTTAGCTAGAGTGGAAAAAAAAGCAAAACAAAAAGCTGTGCAAAAGCAGAGCTACCTTTACACACTGCAAACCAGAGCCCTGCTGGGCTGCAGAGTACATGGGCTTGGTGCCAAGCTGTGAAATGAAGGACAATGTGACCACTCCAGAATCAAAGGCCTGACATTTCTTACCATCGTGAAATGACAAATTGCTACAAAAACCAAAGGCATGTAAAAAGAAAAATCCTGTGAAATGCTACCAGCTGCTATTTCCTTGTTTCCTGAATTTATGTCACTTCTCTGAAAAAAAAAGTTTCCTCAGAAATTGAAATGCCAATATTCCAGAAAAACAGCATCCTTGGGGAAAAGCTAACCTTCTCTTAGATGCCAAACAATTTAAATATTAACACATGGGAAAATTTCAGGTATACAGGTGTGTTGGAAGCTTGAGAAAGCTGCCTGGTGTGTCCAGCTTCTTCAAATTATTTTTCTTTCCCCACTGTGTACAGCGTAGCTGGCTCAACTGCAAATGGCATCTAAAATGGATGCTCCAGGTCTCTGAAACACAAAGATATTGATATTTTAGTGATACAGGAATTATAGTAAATGATACATTTACTTTAAAAGGGCAATTCAGTTTTCTGTGGAAAAGGGTGCATAATAGTAAAGGTGAAGCCAGAACATGGCCACTCATTTCTCTCAGGGTTTTGAGGAGACTTTGGCAACAGACTGAAAAACACTTATTTCTCAGGTTACATTTAGATGACAAGATGTTTTTAGCAAGGGCAATGCGTACAAATGAGCAAACAACAGCTGTAATGTTCCAAAGCAATAAAGAACTTTCACATTTAATAAGTTTGCAGCAAAAAATAGGCTCTGGACACCACATTTGGCTGTTTAATTAGAAAACTGCACATGTGAGAGCATGGAGGCAGGAGCCCACAGCTTCTGGTTCTGTTCTGAGCTTCCTTATGCCTATTCCAGATCCTTGTCTCTGCCTCTGTCCCAGGTATTTTGTGTGTTTCGTCCCATGAAGGCAGCTAAAATTCCAATAATCCTTCATGCAGCTCCCTTGGTTTTGCCAGTGTTAATTTTGGGGTTATTGCTTCAGTACTGCTTTAACATGTTCTCCTGAAGTCAACATTCTACCTGCATTTTGGGTAATAGCTCAGATAATCCATGTGCTCTTCAGTGTTAAAATTAAATACTCATTAGTCTGTTTGTCACAACTATGGCCAGAAAGTGCATTAAAACTATCTTGTTTCACTGCCAGGTTTTCACAGGTTTTTGTTAAAGGAGAAAATTACAGCCACATCCTGAGATAAATTACTGTAGTTCTTAATTTTCCTAGTAAGTTTTTACAATGCTTTCTCCTCATGCTGTTTTGACTGATGATAAATTTTGGTTTGACTCCCATTTTTGTCACAGATTTCTGTTGCACCGTTCATCTACAGATAAATATTTAAAAGGCCTTGTATCTTCATTTTTATGGAGCAAGGGTTTCTTGTAGAAGCTTGCACAAAGCAGTAATGTTACTTGCACGGGCTCTCTGTGTAGTACAGAGCGCAGCCATGGCCTGCCAGCCCGGCCATTCCTCCCTCAGCACGTCTCTGACCCTGGGCTGACATCTGGAGACCGAGTGCCAGAGCAAAGCTGGCACACACAGACTCAGCACTGCTGTTTTAAAGGCAGATGTTGACCATGGTACTTCTTGCATTATGAGCCTATAATTTAGGTTTATGTCCTCCCAAACTGCTCATCACAGCTAGGAAGACACCCATTTTGATCCCCACAATCCCTATATTTATCCTTCTGCATAAGTAAAGAACAAAGCTGCAAGTGCAGGTAGAGCACCAAGATTGCCCTAAATGGGCACATGTGAAGTGACAGTGCTCATCTCTGTGAGCTGAGTCTCCCACAGAGCACAGCCCCGTCCTGCGAAGGACAGAGCAGCCACACGATCTGGAACCAGCCCAGAAACTCAGAGACTCCAGCATGTGCAGGGTTACATGTCAGATTGAACAGCCCTAGCTACTTGGAAACAGATTGTCTCCAGCGTTAAGTAACAGACTGGATGCAAACCTTCCTCAAAAAAAGGACAGGCATTTGGAGAAAGCAGAACAACATTATTTCCCTTATTGTCTCCGTCAGCAGTAAGGAAAAGGAGTGGCTAGGCCAGGACAATCCCTACACTTCCGATGGGTGACACGTGCTGCCATCAACTTTTGAACTCCACATTCACAAACACATTGCAATAACTTACCAGTTCCCAGCAGCTTCTGCTTTTGCACTAATGGGAAGCGAGCTCAGGTATCTGCAAGAACTTCAACAGTACAGATCAGCCTGTGGCTGTTTCTGAGGTGCCCCAGTGTGCCCTGCATTCCTGGATGCAGTGCTCTGCTACCTCATGCTGCAGGAGACCACACTCACCTGGTCCTTACTGTCTTGATGCTGGCTCAGCAACTGGTTTCTGCACTCCAAAGGCAGTGATAAAAATATTCACAACTACTATAATGAATACTAGTCCAGTTGCAAGGTTGTTGAGGAAATTCAGCTTTCCATGTTTTGCAGGGTTGTTAAGGTCATATTTTACTTCAAAGAGAAAGGAGAAAAAATGTTTAATAATATGTATATTTCAAAATCCAGAATAAGAGGTTTCTGCTGCAGTTACAGAATTTATCTTATGCTAAGCTATTTGGATCAGTCATATTTAAAAGGAAGTCAGATTCTGCAGTGTCACTGAAAGTGCTAAGGGAAAGGTCTGTAACCACAAGGAGCTTATTAACTTCCAGTAATTAGCATCTAATCTCTGTGGAGACACATGGGAAGTAATGGATGCACTAACATCACTAGAAATCTTTTGAGTTCTTGAGGTTTTGAAGCCTAGCTTTGTTGCAGACTTTAAGCATTTAAAAATTATTTCAATCTTGAATACATGAAACTTGAAGCCCTGACAGGATGAAGTTAAATTTCCTAGTTAAAATGCTACAAATCTCATTACCAAGGCTGGATTTTTTCTGTACTGGTGCCCTTCCCCAGCTTGTATTCCCTTGTACTCCCTGCCTTTGCCCTGATTCTGTTTATAGAAAGCAAGGGTACTCTATCTGTTAAACAGAGGGGGTGTCAGAGCAGTGTAGCTGCAGTCCTTTCTACAGAGAGCATCTGCTGTGTAAACATTTTCCTTTGTTTCTTGCAGCTGTTGTTCGGTTGAACTGCTGAAGGGAGTGAGGGAGGCTCACACAAGCATTAATGGAGTGTAAGCTTTGATTCCAGGCCTCGTGATAGCACACAAATGAGTTACATTGGGCTGATAATAGGTTTTGTTTTAAGACAGTGAGAAGTCTGGGGCACTTGCCTGGCATCATAGAATCATTAAGGCTGGAAAAGACCTCCAAGGTCATCAGATCCAACTCTGACCAAATACTATGCCCACTGAAATACCATGTGAAAACCCAAGAGTTTCCTGTCTCTATTCCCTGGCAGGAAGGGCCCTGCAGCTGAGACCCTTGGCTACATTCCTTTGGTGCTGATGGAGTGAGTGCTGATGAATTCTGGAGCATGTTTTGAGAATGGGTTTTGTCTGTTGAGACTCCAAGTTCTCAACAGCATATATCACTGGAGCTTGTGTCTGCATGTGCACAACATGTGAGAGAAAGTTTATACCAGACAAGTTTTTACAGCAACATAAAACCTAGGGCTCCTTCTGATGGGCACATACATAGACATAAAACTTATGACTCTACAACACAAAATAAATCTTGTTACTTGCTTGTACCATCATCGCTGTGTTCCATACTGCAGAAGTGAACCACTGAACCAATATCCCTTGTTGTTGAATGGTGGCAAACACACTTGTGATGCTGAAGTGCTAACAGCCAGGTTCACCTGGGGTCCCTAATACGGCTGTTTTGGTTTCAAGGCATTCTGAGCACCTGCTCAAGTCCTGTTTGCTAAAGCAGTGTAGCCAAACATCACAGGCCAGGCAAAGCATTAAAGAACAGTGTGGGAGAACTGCCCTGAGAAGCTACTGCACACCTTTGCAGACATTAAATAACTTCAGTAAGTACTTCAACCTTAAAATGAGTTTACACATCTGTAAAGTATCTGGAGGCATGTGGATGCTTGCACTCCAACAGGACCTGGAAGGACTCCATGTGAGTGAAGAATAAATGAAACTGAATCATGAGTTCTGAAACACAGAATAACAGCATTTGGGACAGCTGGATAAAAATAGAAAGGCAATAATGACCTGACCTGTTATGTGAGTTAAAAGCAATCACTCTGAAAGGCAAACTGACACTTTCAGAGCTGTCCCTTTGTCCACAGGAGGGTCAGAGAAGACAAGTAATACTTGTCAGTTTAGGAAAAGCTCTAAACTTTTAAGTAGAATTGCAGTAATCCTATCTTTGTAATTACAGCACTGAAGATGAGGGTGTTTGTGAAAATGATTTCAAGCCACTGAAACTATTTCAAGACATTCTTTGCTTTTCTTCCAAAAAGTTAAGGTCACCAAATCCCTTCCAAGGACAAGTTTGCTGAACATTTCTCACATTGTTTTCGTGAAAGGCTCTTTAGAAGGAGGAAAAGCTTTTAATACCTAGTAGAAACTGTGTGAATTGGTAGCTCCCAGGATAAAACCCTGACTCAAGGAAAGAAACTGGATCATGGCACAGACTTTTGTTTGGCTGTGTGAGAGCTTGAAGAGACAGAATTTCATGGCTGGACAGAAACAAACTATTCCTGCCAGCCAAAACTATAAAATATACATTATGAAAAGCAAGTTCTTGGTCTGATACCTGCATTTTCATACCTTTGTGTCCTGTTTCCTGTCTTCTTCCTGTCTTTGACCTTAGCAGGACAACACTGCTCGAAGAGTGCATCACCATAAGCCAAAGGCTCTGTTACCCTCAATGTGACAAAGATAAAATTGACAGCAATTTGTCACAGTACAAGCTGGCTTGTACTGGGCAATTGATATGGCTATAAATCAGAAACCCAACTGGTTCCATAAACTGGCCCCTGGGTTGACAGACAGGAACCTCAACCAATTACACTCCATCCTAAGCTGCAGACATCTCACTGGTCAGGAGCTGGGCTGTGTGGGGATCAGATCAATCAGCAGTTGGGACCAGGGGTTTCAAATCCCCTATATATACTAGGTTTGGACACCACACACTCTGTTTGTCAAATGGGGCTTTGAGGTGTGTGTGTTGTCCCTGTCTCCAACCACCTAAGGGACTGAACATGTGGCCCATAACATAATAGCAATTTAAACCATTTCAGCAGTGTCATGCAGAAACAAGTGTTAAAAGGCAGTATCTCAGCATATACTGAGAAACTATTGCCCAGCAGAAAGACAGGGAGCTTGTTTAGAGCCTCAAAGCCTGCTGAAGCAACCAGGGAGACGCCTTCAACTGAGGAACACAGAAGTATGTTACTGATTTTTCCATTACTTGTTTCCCACACCTGCCAGCATCAACAGGTTGGGTTTTTCCAGTCCCCTTCTGCAATCTCCTCTGAGTCAAGACCTGGATTCTGCTTTTGCACCAATTCTAACAAACGCAGAGACAGCTGTATTCCATCTCTTTTGTAAGAAAGAAAAAAGCCACATCAACTGTGAATATTACAAGCCATGTATATCGTGGATCCCTAGAAACTTTCTCCTTGAAAAGGACATTGTTTTTTCAGCTGTTATAAGAGAGCACAACACTGAAAGATTGTCAGGGATGCCAAACTCATTTAATGCCGTGTGTGAAGTCTGCCTTTTCATTTGCATTAGGCCCAAGATCAGTTACCTAGTTCCCACTATGGTAAAGGATGAGATTTGAAAAATGTTATGAGAATAAATGATCCCATATCACTAGCAGAAATGATCCACAGCTGTTTCCTACCATTGGCAGTGTCATTTATTCCAGCTGGGCAATGGTAGATGCAGTTTAAATGCAACACAGCCAAGCTAAAGACAACATGCCACACCAACATGATGATGGACATTTAACTTTCACTTCCCCTTTGGAGTTCCCCATTCACATTATTTTCTTATACGATATGGAAGAAACACATTTCAGTCATAAGATTAAGTAACAGGTCTTGCCAAAAACATTATTATGAAACTTGATAGACCTCACTATCCTATCTGGCCTACTGATTCTTTTACAATATTTCATAACTTTCCTTCCTCCTCAGGCTTTCTGGAGGAAAAATTTTCATAGTATGGGCAAATGAGTAGGAGAAAGGTGACAAAAATTGAAGATTTCACATAACGTTGCCCTTCCTCCCTTTGTTGCAGTATTTCTATGCTTTCAAGTGAAAATCTGCTTTTCTGGATATCAGAAAAATTTCTTTACTGAAAGGTTTGTCAAGCGTTGGAACAGACTGCCCAGGGAAGTGGTTGATCACCATCCCTGGAGATAATTAAAAGATGTGAAATTGTGATGTTTATGTACATGGTTTAGTGGTGAACAGGGCAGTGCTGGGTTATCTGTTTGACTAGATGATCTTAGAGGTCTTTTCCAACCTAAATGATTCTGTGATTCTAACCTGCATTGGTTCTGAGGTAAAGGCTTTTTAAAAGCAAAGGGTGTTTATTTACCATCCTACAGGCTGCGTCCTATAAGAAAAATACGAGTCAGTGGCTCTTGCTGTTGCTACCTACCAAGGAATATCAAGAGCACTCCCACCATAACTTGCAGGGTGAGCGACAGACTGATGAGAATGATCAGCGGCACGTAGAAGGAAAAGGAGGGCCCTTGCTCCATGACAGCTTTGAGCTGGGAGGCGTTGGCCATCAGCAGGGCGATGTCCAGCATGCTCTCGGCCGCGCTCTTCTTGTTGGCATAGTGGTTGATGTTGATGGGTCTGTTCCTTTGGAACCACTGCCACCTTCTGCGCTGGAGCCAGCAGAGAGGAAAATGGTTATTCACATCTCTTAATTGGTGGTGAGTGGGACATCACTTGGCCCACCAAACGATTCCTGTGACCACATGGGCAGAACCACAGCAGTGCTGAGATCTTCTGTGCACCTTTCCCCTGTTACCCCCGTCCTCCAGAAGGAGAGCAGAAACCTGCCTGCTTCTACTGCCCTTTTACACCTTTTCCAGCTTGCCTACAGGATCAGTTTAAACAGTCAGCATGTTTCTACCCCGGGAAAAGAAGAGACTGGAAAGGCTGAAAAGTTTGCACTGAGAAAAAGTTGAGAGGGAAAAACCACTGTAACACAATCCAGCAAACAACAGGTTGTTGTGACTAATTTACTCCTGAAGGCACACTTAAAAATACAGATACTTATTAAATTCACTTTCTCTCCTTACACATCCAAAAAGTTCTTTCATTTCTCATGAATCTTCTTTTAAAGACAGATGTGAAGTTGGCCACTGTGTGAGCTTTGCTTGCCCTCCTTTCCTTGCTATTCCTTCCTTCCATGCCACTCTTTCCATGCCACTGTCCAGGGCCATCCATACACCCATACACAGATGTTTTTCCACTTAACTATCATCACATCACATGATGTGTTGTTGCCAAGAATTGCCCAATTACAAGGGAATCTTTTTTCCCCCATTTTCACATCAGCTGTTTTGGGTTGTTTTTCATTTGTTTGGTATTTTTTAAATTGCTCTGCAAACAAACAGGAAAATAAAAACCAATTGCAGGGCAAACTTAGGGCTAGTTAACCCAACAGGATGAATATATGAGTGTTTCCTGATGATGATTCATGTGACCTGACTTGCAATTTCACTGCTTGTCTCTCAGCGGTGCCTATTTCTCTATGGATTAGATGCAGCTTAGGGTAACTAGGTGAGACTTAGCAGCCCAACTCCATGAGGAACGGAGAGTAAGTGATCCTCTATCCTGCGGTCTCTGAATAGGTTAGCAATTTCATTCTTTCTGCTCTTCTAGACTTTAAAACTAATAGACAAATATATGAAAAGTAAACTTGTTCTAGCTGTCTTCTTTAAACCTACTTCTTAGAGACTTTTTTACTGCCCAGATGTGTTGCTCCTTGCCAGACTCCTGTGAAGGGAGTCTGGCTTTGCAAGTTAGCTCAAATGCAGAAGACACCCTCTAATTACTCTCCTCAGCAGCACTAAACATTATCAACTCCCAAGCCAGGCTTGCCACAGTCCAGACCTAAAAGCCTCCTTTTAAACGGGGTAGATATTCATATACACATTGCCAGTTTTTTCAGGGCATTTAAATACCAAACTTGACCTGTTTTCACCAGACATGTCATCCATCACAAGCCTAAATGTTTGACTGAGTGTAATAGGGCAGCAGAAAATGTCAGAGGTTTTTCTCAGCCTGTGATCTTGCCTTCACCAGGAAAAATGGCCTGTAATCATGAAAACCCCTGAAACATTCACTTCCTGCCTCCTGACTGATGCTGGAAAACCAGAAAACAAAAATCCAAAAAAAAGAGCAAATTAGCCTTGTCTTCTGGGAGCAAGCTGAAGGCCACTGCCAGAGGTATTGAAGATGATGCAGTCAGTACTACACGGGTACTTTTTAAGATCAGATTGTGTGTTACACAGCAATATATACACAGGTAAAGAAAAAAGAGATGTTGCCTTAACCTCAGGAGAGGGACAGTCTGTACAACAGAAATTATAATGATGAATGTAGAACTTGGTTATGTGGCTTTATGGTTTCAGAGGGATTCCAGGCATGCAGCAACGTGTGCAGCCCACAGTACCAAACAACACTTGCTGTGCTTTGATCACCCACAGGAGTACAGAGGGACAGTGGAATATCTGGAGATTTTCTAGGATACACCTAAAGGAATGCTCTTCCTGCAGGTGTCACTTGGCAAAAGAGCAGTATGCATTGCACAGGACCTGCTTCAGCCTCAGTGCAAGCAGAACATCTCCTCACACACATTCAACATTCAAACTCTTTGGCAGAGACAAGATAAGCCCTTGTGTTCGTGTCTCCAAAGGACTTTGAGCAAAGCCAGCACATGTGTTCACATGTAAGAGCCATGTGCAGCTGGGACACCATTCCCTGCAGTATTCCCTGCTTGCCCTCAGGGCCTCACAGCACAACAACCTGCCCTGCTGGTCCATGCACAGTTAGACAAAGGATGGGAGTGCAGAGCTGATTTTCACAGTGACATGGTGCTGTCCCACAGGCAGTACCACCCTGCGTCTCCTCACAGAAGCAGGGGCTGTTTGCTTGCCCAGAGCACTGCACTCTGCAAGGATAAAGCCACAATGCCATGTCATAAACAGGCATGGTTCCGGTTCTGTAGGATGGAACCTTCACTCCAAGATTGCACAAGTCCCTCTGTGTTAGTACACACTCTGCATCTGCTTTGCTTCACTCCCCCTTTCAATGGTACACCCAGAAAAACTGAGTCCCTCTCAAGTACAGAAAGAATTTATTGGTTGCATTTATTAAAAAGCAAATACAGGCGGCTCTGCAGCAAATGTCCTTAAGTGCTGAGTGTATGACAGTGAAGCCCCACCTGGTGATTCAACGGGAAGGAAACAGCACTGAAAATGGAAATATCTGAAAACAATAAAGTATCTTTGCTAAACACAGTAAATTGTTATAGAAAGGATTACAGCAGTTTTCCTTCTATTTGGGGTTAGTTATTAATGCAATTTTATGGGCCAACAGCTTTGATTGAAAATGAGACTGGACCAGAATGACCTCTGGGTTTGCAATGCCATAGAGCAAGCTTCCTGAAAATCTCGTGTTTAGGATAAATCTGAATTATAAAACAATGGAAACTTGCTAAATAAAAATGAAGCTATGCAGAACTAAAGCTGAGCCATACTGAACTTAGTGGGGCTGTTCTTTACTGTGTTCTGCAATATTCTTCCCAATCAGAATGGATAAAAAGATGCTAAAAAGCAATTTTGTTTAAGAAGTAATTTACTATGGTTTTGAAGTATTAATCCTTCAGAAAAATACCATATGGCTGATTTTTCCAGATCTTTGAGGGAAAATTTCATGTTTGGAAAAAATTCCAGTTAAATCAAAAATGAGATGGATCAGACATAAAAGGAATAATACAGGACTAAAATAGAACACCATTTCAGAACTTTTATTTTTTTGTAAGATCAAACTTACAGTTACAGGATTGAACTAGCAACTTTGCACTAGTATTTAATACTTGTAGTTGTAGAATTTCTGTCCGTATCTCCATCACCTACACATTGAAATTGTAAAGGGCCGTTTATGGCCACTCTGAAGTTAGTCCTCCCCTCCATCTCAGGGACCTTGCTGATCTAAAAACAGTCAGGTAAAATATTCAACAAAAAAAAAAGTATTTGTCCAACAAAAATATTTTAAGCCATATCAGTCATGTAATGGATGATTAAGATTCACAGAACAGGCTGAGTTGGAAGGGACCTGCAGGGGCCACCCAGTCCAGCCCCTGCCCAGACCCCCCAACAATCCCACCCTGTCCATCCCTGGCAGTGCTGCCCAAAGGCTCCTGCAGCTCTGGCAGCCTCGGGGCCGTGCCCATTCCCTGGGCAGCCTGGGCACTGCCAGCACCCTCTGGGGGCAGAGCCTTGCCCTGAGATCCACCCTGACCCTCCCTGACACAACTCCAGGCCATTCCCGCAGGCCCTATCACTGGTCACCACAAGAGACATCAGTGCCCCTCCTGTGCCGCTCACAAGGAACTTGTGACCCCAGTGAGTCTCCCCTCAGCCTCCTCTTCTCCAGCTGAACAGACCAAGGCTTCCCCTCCAGGCCCTTCACCATTCTCGTGGCCTCCTTGTCTCTAATGGATTCTTTGTACACTGCCTCAGAGGATACTCAGTGGTTTATCCTTCAAAAACACATCAGATCACTTGCTCAGTTTAGTACTGACTCAAGAGAGAAAAACCCCTTCTCTGGCCCTGGAATGAATCATCAGTTTCATTGTTTCATTTCCCATGGAAATTTCATTCTGAGGAGAGGGGGGAGATGTTCACCCAAGTAGCAACCCAGTGTAACACTAACTAGTTTGTGAGAACTCTGCAATCACATGCTGTGCTTGCTGGCAAATCAAAAAAAAAAAAAAAAAAAAAAAAAAAAAAAGGGAAAAACTCAGCATGTATTTGTGTTTCATAGACATCATGATTTTCTAGCAGCTCCAAAACCTTGTGCTTAAGAAGAATCACTTTTATACAAACAGATCATGCAAGCATGACTACATTAAGAGAAAAAACTGTGGCAATCATGTTGAGTCCTGAGAGCTAAAGAAGTTAATATTAAAAAAGGGAAAAGTACAGTCTGCTGAGAGCCAGCTTTAGCAGCTTTAGCACTGTTTTCCTAAAGCTGTACTGGTTCCAGGGTCCAGTTAAAATATTTCTACTCATTAAATTACTGTAAAATAATCAGCACATCTCATGACTAAATTTGTGAAATGAAGGAGTAATTTAAATTTGTCCACACTGCTATTTAAATAGAAGTTTGGTCCTGTATCATTTTTTCTGCGTTGCATTATTACTACTCATTCCACTCATTTGGTCTTACAATACTATTTCTCACAACTGGGCTGTGGACTGTCTATTTTGTGTGGTTAACACACTGTTTATTATAGCTACTTAAAAATATTCAAGCAAAAACTTAACACCAATAGTATCAATATTTGGAGTATATAGAACACTCCAAATTCAGTTTGATGTGAGTAATGAGAACATACTATTTCAGGTTATATGCAGCAAAATAATTTCAAGTTCCTACAGACTGGTTACTTGCAATATGATGCCAAGAAACTGCCATGTTTCAAATTACTTTCATGTTCCAAATTACCCCTGAATTAATATATGGACTTCAACACATTTTTAGGAAAACACGATTAAAAGTGTTTATTTCTACTATCCAATTCTTGTTCACCTTTTTCATAGCTCTTCTTTAACTCTTCATCTAGCACGCCCTGTTATCTTGGAAGCACTAAACTAGATTTTACAACATGGTGGATGGAGAGTGCTCCAATATGGACCATGAACAAGGAAAGCAACTAGATGGATGAAAAACTAGTTATAATCTGTATTTGTATGAACAGATCCTTTGAAGAAGAGATGAGATACTTGTGCCAGGTGTAATCACACATATTAGTCAGTGAGGTGTGCCATGCCAGACCAATCCTAGTAGCAAGGAATTTCTTGCTTCCAAAAGTCTGACATCTGCTAAAAAAATGTATTCAAATTAATGCTGGAGTAAAAATAAACCACATCAAACCACTGTGTGACCCTTGTTCAGATCTACCAAGAGCTTAACTGGTCTTTTTAAAATTCTTATGCTTTGATTGCTTTGAAGGCAACAACTACATCTGCATTTCATGACAGCTCTTCTGTGGTCTGTGGTGAAGGTGTGCAAGAGAGTCTGTTTTGAGGAGAGGACAGAGGCTGGGACAGGCAGGAAGGGAACAAGAGTGACCATGTTCCCATGCCTGTGAGCATTCCTCAAAGCAGACACACTCTTGACCCCAATACAGAAGATTCAGGCAGCTGCAGATGGTCCCTCCAGGTTTAGGTGGCTGCTGAGCTGGGGTGTTCTTTTGTTTGTGGGAATTGTGAACACTGGCAGACTTTTCAAAGTATCTTCTATTCAGAGATGGGTTCTTGGAAAATCCATTTGTTTTACCTGGCATATACTTTGTATGTGTGAGTGTGTGTGTGTGAGAGAGAGAGAAAATTTAATAAGTGTTTATGAAGTTCACTGAAGGGCCACTGTATACATTTAAAACAATGGAATAGCATGTCTCACTGCTTATTCTTTATATGGCACTCACTGATAACTGGAGTTTTGATGGGAAAGATGTAACAAAATGAGGGCTGCTTGCAACTGAAGATGAAGTAAAACAGGTAAGTTGCTGAAAAATTCTTGAAGAAGACCACACTGGGGGAAAAATACCCCATCAAGAGTACTTGTGATGCAATCACAAAGCTGCATCAAGAAAATGAGAGAACTCCTGAGAAGTCAGAGGTTTAGAGGAGCCCACTCCAGACCACCAGTTTGACTTGCATATCCTAGGCTTGATTAACTTTAGGTAGGATTTCCAGGATTTATTAAAAACAGATTTTTATTTTTCTTGGTTTCATATTCATGACTCCAAATGTTTGTGAGGGAGGGAGGGTTGGAGGAAGGACAGACATGCTACACAATCAGCCCAGTCTGTCTGTAACCAGAACATTATACCAGTGACACAGAAGAGGGTTTAGTACTATGGTTTCTGTGTGGCAGAGACTTAGGCTGGAGTAAGAGCTGCCTTTAGAGTTTAGTCCTTTCCAAAACAAGATAAAAGCCACTCTTTTACCCGTCTGTTTTCTTCAGATAAGTGGCATGTTCTGCAAATATCCTTTATACTTAAACAGAATGGGAATGAACATTTCCCAGTGAGGATGTCTGGTCATGTTTTGACCATACACAGTATGAAAAAGCTGCGTATTCTGGCTTTTATTTTGATTACTGCATGGAAATTAACCATACAGGCATAACCACTTCAGCAATTCTTCCTGCTTTTGTAATTGCTTATTTCGCGCGGATGTCCTCTCCCAAGCCAGCTGGGTGGGTAGAGCCCTGCAGGTGAGGCGAGCTGCGGGCGGGCCCCGGCCGAGGAGGGCCCTGGTGGCCCCCGGTGACAGGTGACAGCTGCAGGAGCCAGGAGCGGCCCTGGTGGCCCCTGGTGACGGTGACAGCTGCAGGAGCCAGGAGCGGCCGGGGATGCTCTGCCCGGCCCTGCCCGGGCACACGGGCCCCGCGCAGCGGCCTCCCCGCAGGAACGGCAGGCTAAAAAGCCAGCAAGAAGCGAGCAGCACCGACCGCCACCGCACCCCGCGGAGTCCCGTCCCGCCCGGCCTCGGGAAGGACACGGCGGGACGGACACGGCGCCGGGACCCCCGCCCCGCCGGGCCCGGCCCTCACCTGCTCCTCGGCCGCCGAGTCCGCGCCCTCCGCCGTGCCGTTGAGCTCGTGGGTCTCGCTGCCAGAGTCCATGGCGGCCGCCCGGGCCCCTGTTGCTCCGGACGGGACAGGGGAAGGTTCCCCGGGGGCAGCGGCTCCCGGAGCTGGCCCGGCCTTGCCGCAGCGCGCCCGGAGCCACTCCCGCCGCCGGGGCCGCCTTCCCCCGCCTTCCCCGGCCTTCCCCCGTTCTTCCCCCGCTGTTCCCCGCGCTTCCCGGCTATTCCCCGCCTCCTTGCCTGCCTCTCCCGGCTCTCCCCTCCCTGCCCGCGGGCGGAGGTTTCCGCGCAGGGCCGGGCCCGGCGGAGCTCCGCGCTCGGCCCGGGGCCCCGAGGAATCAACGGTTCTGACAATATCAGAGTCCTGAAAGTGGCCTGAATATTTTTATTTACTCTGAGCTTTCATGAAAACCCAATGATCAAGGCAAAGGATAGCGCCCTTCCTTCCTAATCAGCAGGACCTGGAAAGACATTTCAGAACGTTTTCCAGACAGTCTGGAAAGACATTAGTGAAAGATTCCCTGTCCGTGGCAGGAGGGTTGTGACAAAATGATCTTTGTGGTTCCTTACAACCCCAAACATTCCATGACTCTGATTTTGGTTTTGCTTGCTCACATGCAACTGGTGTGGGCTTAATACCTGAAACAAATAAGGAAATTTCCAGCCTCTGTTGTTGGGAAGATCAGTTTCAACAATCACATTTTTCCATTTTGGATTTAAAATCTTGAAGCCAATGATTAAATATATAATTTTTTATTTTTTTTCTTAAGATGTGCTGCCTTGGCACACACATGTTTGGAACAGACTTTATGAGACAGAGACACACAGCAGTGTGGACTTGTGCCAGAAGGAAATGAGCAAGCTCCTATGTAGAAATAAGCAGAAACATCTATGCAAGTTGTTTAGCATTAAAATGGGGATGTCTGGAGTTTGTGAAAATGCTCTTACCGTGAATGTACAGTTTACCAATACTCTTTTGGATTATTTTTTTTGATGCATTTAGAAGTGTAAGGTAGTTAATTTTCTCTGTAAACAGCAAGTACTACCCATTAGACAAAGGACTTCTCTGTGCAGTGGTGCTCACTTCCCCTGGGCTTGCTGCCCTCCACACAGTCCTCATTGCTGTGCAGTGTGCTACGTTCACAGCACATCGCTTGTACACTTGAATCAGCCTCTCAGCTGCTCCATTCTGCCTTGTACAAACAGCTGTTCCATAGTCTGGAATGCTGGCTGCTGTTTGGTGGGCAGCCAACGTGCCTGCCATGCAAATGTCAGTAAGACTGTGCCTGGCAGGGCTGGTTTTAGTGAGAAGAGGGACCCAATGGCTCCGGAACAGAGGTGGCTGGGAGTGCTCATGGGTATCTCATCTGAATGTGAAGTTCAAATTTGCAGCATGGCCACAAGTCATCTGGAGACCATAGGATTGTGCCTGGGCACAGCATGGCATGACATGGCAGTGTGTTGTCTGACTCCAAATCTCATGTTCAGAGACAGCTGTGTGATCCCCCAGCCTGGCCCTTTACACAAATTATTGGCATTCCTCCCTGGAGAGTCTGATGATCAGTTTTTTACATATTTCTTTAGAAAATTATGACAGCCTGCCAGGTTGTCAGGTGGCTGTACTGTTCTCTAATTCTGGAGCACACTTCCTGAGGAGATCTGGCACTCCTGGCTCAAGTCCTCTATTAATTCCCTCCTGGAACGCCTGCTTTGGGGTGTGCTAATACTGCTGCACCTTTCCTGCTTCAGCAAGTGTGACAACATAATGCTAGCTGAGAAACTAGGTACAGCCTTGCACTTAAAATAGGAAAGAAATGCAAAGAATTTGGATAGAAGAGACTCAATTGCAGGAAATAAAGCTCCTGTTTTTATTCTTGGTCTTAAAGACTTCATAGCTGTTATACTTTCTGGCTGAAATTGCATAGCTTAGTCTATTTCTATACATTAATTCCTTCTTTTAAAAGTCCTAGTAGAGTCTCTGCACCTTTTTAAACCACAGCATATATGTATGTATATATATGTGTATGTATTTACAGACTAGTACAATTAGAGGATGTGGTTTTTTTGCAAAATTTGCTGAGGAAATTGTGGAGCTGAAATGAAATGGTATATAAATTTGAAAATTGGCATGGTAAGCCTGGTATAAAAGTTCTGCTGTGCTTGAGCATTGTCTTTTTTAAAACTGTGTGTTAATGATTTCTGTTAGCTGGTAAAATGTCTTGCTCAGAAAGTCACATTTGCATGTGCCTGAAGCTGCGTAATTTTATAGCAGTTTGCTATAAAATCCACAAACAACACAGTGTTTGGGAGGTGGTGGTGTGTACTTAGAGTATGTACTTCAGTTCACTTCAGAGGTGCTGAATCTTAATCTAGGTAATGAATGAGACCAGGAATCAGTTGCATTTATGTTCCTGAACTCTGTTGTCATTGTTTCATTTTAGCCAACAGAACTTTCTTATGATCAATGAATTCTTTTAATAGATTTTGTTATATCAAATAGATGGAGAATGATTTAAATACATCTATGTGCAAATCTTGGATTAAATGTTTACTTTTGAAAGGTGAATTTAAATTTTTTCATCAAATGCATAGGCAGTGATAGGTCAGAGGTGACCCATTTGCAGCAATATACCCCAAAAGAAAGAATTCAAAGAAAAATCAAACCTAATGTATTTTTTCAGGATTGTGCAGAAGTGGAGCAGTAGTCTAGAAGAGGGAGTGGAAGGAGGTTGTCTGTAAACCAGAGTAAAGAATGCATCTGTTTAAAATGCCAGGTCTCATTACAGGTGTGAATCCGAATTGTATGTCCCCACATAACTTGTCAGCAACCAGGTAAATAAGAGAAGAATCAGACCCTAGAACTACTGTTGGGAAAGAGTAATTCAATGAAAAGACTAATCTAGTTAAATGAAAAGGCCTTTGTGTATGGAATTACTCCCAAATGTAAGTCATAGAACAATGCATGCTATTGAAATGCATTTAAAAAAAGAAGAAAAAAAAAAAAAAGAGGAAAGGAAAAAAGGAAATAAATGAGCTGTTCCAAGGGTTCTTTTGTATCAGACTCATGTTTTCAGGAGTGGTTCCCAGCTTCCAAGATGCATGGGGAGAGGAGGGAGAGAGGAAGGCAGAAAAAGAAGCCCCCAGGAGCCCAAGCTCCTGCCCTGCAATGGCCCAGAGGGAGGGCATGAAAGAAGCAGCCTTCATTACCCAGGTGTAACCTGTTCCCATTTGTTGTGTCTTTTATTAATATTACTAACCTTAAAAACCCACCAAAAACCAAAACGGAACCAAATCAAACAAAACCACCAAAACCCATACAAATTCCAAAACAAACAAACAAGCAAAGCCACCAAAACAAAACAAACAACCCCCCAAAAAATCAACAACAAAAAACCAGGTGATGTTTGCCAGCTGTCCCAGTTCTGCAGCATCAGTCAAGCCTTTAGAGCTGCTGTGTAGCTGTAGGATTGTGTCTGTGCACAGGGCTGTAGGGCCTGATCCCTTTTGGAGTTTTTGTGCTCTCTCAAGACTGAGTTCAGGTTCCACAGTGTGCAGTGGGATGAGTTTATATGCATTGCATGTGCCCATAAATACTGCAAAATAGGCTTGTGAGTGTGACTGGTGTGTGCAGCATGGGAACTCACGTGTCTGGAGTGAACAAGCAGTGGGGCTGGTTTCGTTCTCTAGAAAGAGTTCCTTAGTAAGGTTGTTTTTTCCAGAATTTCTGGAAGTTTTTGCTAGGGTTAGGGTTATCCTAACCCTAACAAACCTCTGGATAATCCAGGTTGAAAGAAACATCAGGAGGTCAGCTAGACTAACATTTTGCTCAAGTAGGGTAAGCTGTGAGGCCACACCAGGGCTGGCTCATGCTCATTGGCCTTTGAGCATTTTTTGGTAGTTTCTTTGTCATGATAATATTCCAATATATGAATTTACAAATATAAATTTCCATCCCTGCCATGCTTTCTTTTGCCAGATTCATAGACAGAAGCTTTTTGAAAAGTGAGGAATTTGACAGTATAACTTTTCATTTGCTTGTTTGAATTTTAAAGAATAACACATGAAATCTTTAGGTCTGGATGATTTAAGGTGACCAGATAGGTACCAAACACAGATTGTTGTTTACTACTGACACACAGGTTAAAATAGTAAGAGGATATTCAAGCCCAGATGGAATTTTATGGCCATAAATCCCTATTGCTTGAATTTCATGCAGCACCACTCACAGTTTGCTCGGTAGTTTGTGGTTGAACCAGAGAAGGATAGTTGGCTTTGTTGGAGTCCTTGGCATTGCTTTTAAAGCTGACATTAAAAAAACTTGACAGCTTTGGGATGTGGTAAAATCTCAGCCTATAGACTAGACTGGACTGAAACCATTAAATGTGATACATAAGGAAATTTTAAAATCTATTTCACCTTGAAGTGGCCTCAGCAGAACCTGTAGACATTAATTCTTCCTGTGGTCTGTATTCCCCTCTGCAGTTATGGTGAGGGCTGCCTGTAAAAATCCAAATTTTCTGTTGTTTTACTGGCAGAATATCAGAAAGACATTGCAAATATTTCTCTCTTCTGGTCCCTATCTCCAAAACCTCATATAAACATAAGGGCTTTTCCTTGCTAGACATGTTGCCTGATGAAAGCAGCGCCATCTGGCTTTCTCTTCCTTTTTTTCACCAAATATTTGCTGCAGTGTATAAAACTAATTTCAACTCAACCAGTTTATTAGCACTGTTGCTATGTTTTCACTTCCTTATACTAACAATTATTTGCCATTGTTTTTTTTTACTTTTACTTGCTGAGTGACTCTTGTGTTTTTATTAAATCTTGATGATTGCACTACTTGTGAATGATTTTCTTTGACTTAGAGTATAGTTATCATGGAAGTAATAGTACATAAAATAAATGCAAAAGGTATCAAGAATATAATAATGTCAGTTATATAGTGCATGGATATATAAACAGCTTGTATTTACAGGGTATTTGTTCTAATTAATTCCTATCTGTTTTCATGGAAGCTTTGTAGAAACTTACATAGAATGTAAGTTTAGGATAACTGCCCCATTCGCATGCACGTTTTACTTTTTTAACTTTGCTGTGACAGTTTCTGCCATTGCCAAACTGTGCTGCCAACATCTCTGTTTAATGCTCCTATTACTCGTGAAGGAGTTGAACATCA